CACACACACACACACACACACACACACAACCACACACACACACACACACACACACACACCACACACACACACCACACACACACACACACTAAGAAATTAGAGGAAAAACAGTCCAAGATATGATGGACCTAGTCATACAGAAATGCCAGGAGGCCGAAGAGAGATTTATACCAACGGTAAAGGGAAAAAATAAGAGGAATATAATAACCATGGTTTAATAGACAGTGTCAGGAAGCAAAAATGGCCAGCAGGCGCAAAAGTGGAGGAAGTACAGAAGACAAAGAACAGAGGACAACAGAAGCAGATACAACAGAGCTAGGAACGATTACATTAACATAAGACGAACATCGGAAGGGACTATGATAACGATCTTGCAATCAAAGCGAAAAAACAACCTAAGTTACTACACATTCTATAAGAAGAAAAATGTCGGTGAACGACCAAGTGACAAGACTAAGGAAGACAGAGGGGGCATATACTGAAAGTGACAAGGAAATCTGCGAGGCACTGAATGCCAGTTTCCATGGAGTGTTCACTACCGAGCCTGAGCAGCTCCCATTGTTTCGAGGGGTTACCCTAGATGAAAGACTATCAGATATAGAGGTGACAGCAGAGGAGGTAATGAAACAGTTGACAACTCTAGATGCAACTAAAGCATTTGGACCAGACAAAGTATCACCGTGGATACTAAAAGAAGCAGCACAGGCCCTCAGCGTGCCTCTGGCAATGATCTTTAATGAGTCACTTATGTCAGGAGAATTGCCCAGTTGCTGGAAGAAGGCAAATGTCGTGCCGATCTTCAAGAAAGGAGATAGGGAGGAGGCACTTAACTACAGACCTGTATCACTGACAACATCCCCTGTAAAATACTGGAAAGAATAATTAGGCTACGACTGGTTGCACACCTGGAGAACATTAGGTTTGTGAACAAACATCAACATGGGTTCTGGACAGGGAAATCGTGCCTAACAAACCTTCTGGAATTCTATGATAAATAACGAGGATAAGACAGGACAGAGATGGTTGGGCAGACTGCATATTTCTGGACTGCCAAAAAGCTTTGATACAGTACCGCACATGAGACTGCTGTTCAAGCTCGAGAGGCAGGCGGGGGTGGGGGGAAAGGTCCTAGAATGGATAAGGAACTACCTAACAGAAGGAGCCAAAGAGTTACGGTAAGGGGCGAGAAGTCGGACTGGCGAACAGTAACAAGTGGAGTACCACAAGGATCGGTGCTGGGACCAATTCTATTTCTTGTATATGTTAACGACATGTTTACAGGCGTAGAGTCCTACATGTCGATGTTTGCGGATGATGCAAAGTTGATGAGAAGAGTTGTGACAGATGAGGATTGCAGGATCCTCCAAGAGGACCTGAACAGATTGCAGAGATGTGTCAGAGAAATGGCTACTAGAATTCAACACGAGCAAATGTAAAGTTATGGAAATGGGACTAGGAGATAGGAGACCAAAGGGACAGTACACAATGAAGGGAACAGCCTACCTGTAACGACGCGTGAAAGAGACCTGGGGGTGGACGTAACACCTAATCTATCTCCTGAGGCACATATTAATAGGATAACGACAGCAGCGTACTCTACACTGGCAAAAGTTAGAACATCATTCAGAAACCTAAGTAAGGAGGCATTTAGGGCGCTTTACACTGCCTACGTAAGGCCAGTCTTAGAGTATGCCGCCTCATCATGGAGTCCCCATCTGAAGAAGCATATAATGAAACTGGAAAAGGTTCAGAGGTTTGCAACGAGACTCGTCCCAGAGCTACGAGGGATGGGGTATGAAGAGCGCCTGAGGGAACTGTGCCTTACGACACTAGAAAGAAGAAGGGAGAGGGGGGACATGATAGGAACGTATAAGATACTCAGAGGAATTGACAGAGTGGACATAGACGAAATGTTCACACGGAATAGTAACAGAACGAGAGGACATGGATGGAAGCTTGAAACTCAGATGAGTCACAGAGATGTAAGGAAGTTTTCTTTTAGCGTGAGAGTAGTGGGGAAATGGAATGCACTTCAGGAACAGGTTGTGGAAGCAAATACTATTCATAATTTTAAAACCAGGTATGATAGGGAAATGGGACAGGAGTCATTGCTGTAAACAACCGATGCTCGAAAGGCGGGATCCAAGAGTCAATGCTCGATCCTGCAAGCACATATAGGTGAGTACATATAGGTGAGTACACACACACACACAAGGGGGCCTCGTAGCCTGGTAGATAGCGCGCAGGACTTGTAATTCTGTGGCGCGGGTTCGATTCCCGCACGAGGCAGAAACAAACTGGCAAAGTTTCTTTCACCCTGAATGCCCCTGTTACCTAGCAGTAAATAGGTACCTGGGAGTTAGTCAGCTGTCACGGGCTGCTTCCTGGGTGTGTGTGTGGTGTGGAAAAAAGTAGTTAGTAAACAGTTGAGAGGCGGGCCGAAAGAGCAAAGCTCAACCCCCGCAAACACAATTAGGTGAAATACTGGTCACCACACACACACACACACACACACACACACACACACACACACACACACACACACACACACACACACACACACACACACACACACACACACACACACACACACACACACACACACACAGACAACAAGTTTGTCATGGGTTTGTAAACAAGCACCAACATGGGTTCTGGACAGGGAAATCATGCCTAACAAACCTTTTAGAATTCTATGATAAAGTAACAAGGATAAGGCAGGACAGAGAAGGCTGGGCAGACTGCATATTTCTTGACTGCCAAAAGGCCTTTGATACGGTACCGCACATGAGACTGCTATACAAACTTGAGAGGCAGGCAGGAGTAGGCGGAAAGGCCCTAGTATGGGTGCAGAACTACCTAACAGGAAGGAGCCAGAGGGTAATGGTAAGGGGCGAGAAGTCGGACTGGCGAACAGTAACAAGTGGAGTACCTCAAGGATCGGTGCTGGGACCAATCCTCTTTCTAATTTACGTAAATGATATGTTTACAGGAGTGGAATCATACATGTCAATGTTTGCGGATGACGCAAAATTAATGAGAAGAGTTGTGACAGACGAGGATTGTAGGATCCTCCAAGAGGACTTAAACAGGCTGCAGAGATGGTCAGGGAAATGGCTATGGAGTTTAACACCAGTAAATGTAAAGTTATGGAAATGGGATCAGTTACAGGAGACCAAAGGGACAGTACACAATGAAGGGGAACAGCCTACCTGTAACGATTCGAGAAAGAGACCTGGGAGTGGATGTGACACCTAATCTAACTCCTGAGGCACATATAAATAGGATAACGACAGCAGCGTACTCTACACTGGCGAAAATTAGAACTTCATTCAGAAACCTAAATGTGGAGGCTTTTAGGGCGCTTTACACTGCCTACGTGAGACCCGTCTTAGAGTATGCCGCGCCATCATGGAGCCCCCACCTGAAGAAACACATAAAGAAACTGGAGAAGATTCAGAGGTTTGCGACGAGGCTTGTCCCAGAGTTACGAGGGATGGGATATGAAGAGCGGCTGAAGGAACTGAACCTTACGACACTAGAGAAAAGAAGGGAGAGAGGAGATATGATAGGGACATATAAAATACTCAGGGGAATTGACAAAGTGGAAATAGATGAAATGTTCACACGTAATAATAACAGAACGAGGGGACATGAATGGAAACTGGAAACTCAGATGAGTCACAGAGATGTTAGGAAGTTTTCTTTTAGCGTGAGAGTAGTGGAAAAATGGAATGCACTTGGGGAACAGGTTGTGGAAGCAAATACTATTCATACTTTTAAAACTAGGTATGATAGGGAAATGGGACAGGAGTCATTGCTGTAAACAACCGATAGCTGGAAAGGCGGGATCCAAGAGTCAATGCTCGATCCTGCAAGAACAAATAGGTGAGTACAAATAGGTGAGTACACACACACACACACACACACACACACACACACACACACACACACACACACACACACACACACACACACACACACACCACACACACACACACACACACAATGCTAGAAATAACATGTGTTACTGATGTATGTGTAGCATGTGTTACTACAGTGTACTGATACTGATACCTACACATTGATAGTAGGAGGGTACAAGATGACCTGGACAGACTGAATGAATGGTCCAACAAATGGCTGCTAAAGCTCAACCCGAGTAAATACAAAGTAATGAAACTAGGCAGTGGAAACAGGAGGTCAGACACAGGATACAGAGTAGGAGATGAAGTACTTAATGAAACGGACAGAGAGAATGATCTAGGAATTGATATCACACCAAACCTGTCTCCTGAAGCCCGCATAAAAAGAATTACATCTGCAGCATATGAGAGGCTGGCTAACATCAGAATAGCCTCAGTTCCGTAGCCTTCAGGAACCTGTGTAAGGAATCATTCAGAATCTTGTATACTGCATATGTAAGACCAATTCTGGAGTATACGGCCCCAGCATGGAGCCCGTACCTTGTCATGCACAAGACGAAGCTGGAAAAAGTTCAGAGGCATGACATTAGGCTAGTCCCAGAACTAAGAGGCATGAGTTATGAGGAACGGCTGTGTGAAATGCACCTCACGGCACTGGAAGCCAGAAGAGTAAGGGGAGATATGATCACTACCTACAAAATTACCAGGAGAATTGACAGGACAGATAAGGATAAACTGTTTAACACGGGTGGGACGCGAATAAGGGAATACAGGTGGAAACTGAGTGCCCAAATGAGCCACAGGGACGTTAGAAAGAACTTTTTCAGTGTCAGAGTAGTTAACAGGTGGAATGCATTAGGCAGTGATGTGGTGGAGGCTGACTCCATACATAGTTTTAAATGCAGATATGATAGAGCCTAGTTGGCTCAGGAAACTGTTCACCAGTTGATGGACAGTTGAGAGGCGGAACCAAAGAACCAGAGCTCAACCCCCGCAAGCACAACTAGGTGAGTACAACTAGGTGAGTACACACTTACACACTATTGAAAACAAATATTGAAATACGCCAAGATAATGAGAGCACATCGCACCACGCCCAAGCACACTGTTCACCGGCCCACCCCACCAATAGCAGCCGAAGGTAAGCCCATCGCCCACCTGTTGATATACACACACATACATAAAGCTCCAGCCAGCATGTACAAGGTATACTCTCATGTAGTATGTGCTAAGATTTCTCCTTCCCTACAGCTACAGAGTGTGTACGGTACAGTGTCTCAGGTCATCGCTACAGGGAGTCGTGAGAGGTCTCACCCCCACCGAGAGCTGCGTGCATATATGGCCTATTGTATATGGCAGTGGAAGCGTATGTGCAATGTACGGGTTTTGTTGTGGCATTTTGTAGAGGATATATATATATATGTGTGTACCAATTTTCTGAAACTTTACCAATTATGTTGTAATTTTTCAAAATTAACTTGTCATATCAGATGAACAAATCCCCAGAGGCGATGATGAGGGTTCGAACCTACGTCCAGGATGATCCCACACTCGCCTTGGTCTACTCCACAGCGATATGGTTAAAAGAATTGTAACCTGGAGGGCTACTGCCCTCACGAAGCTCCCGCAGCTTCTCCGAAGCACAAACCGGGGTTTTACACAATATCCCCCCAAGCACCCGGGCTCTATCAACCAAATGTTCTACCACTTCGCCCTAACTTCAATACACACAGAACACACACACGAAATCACGAAAATTTACACGTGGTGAAAAATGTGACAGTGTCAGACCGCGGAGGAAGAATTAAAACAGGAATTTCCTTAAGTACTTTCGAATATTAATACATCTTCAGAAGGAATTCCTTCTGAAAAATGGGCGTGAGGAAAGCCATCTTTTCAAAGTTGTATCCATTCAGTTTATACCAGTGTTGTGGCTCAGTGTGCTCCTTTTGTCTTGTATGGCACAGGTGTTGCACCTGTGGCACTTCCCTCCCCTCCCCTCCCCCCCACCTGCTGTAGTGTAGCCTCCAGGGTGCCACCCTCCCCCCCCCCCACCTGCTGTAGTGTAGCCTCCAGGGTGCCACCCTCCCCTCCCCCCCCACCTGCTGTAGTGTAGCCTGCAGAGTGCCACCCTCCCCCCCCCCACCTGCTGTAGTGTAGCCTCCAGGGTGCCACCCTCCCCTCCCCCCCCAGCTGCTGTAGTGTAGCCTGCAGAGTGCCACCCTCCCCCCCCCACCTGCTGTAGTGTAGCCTCCAAGGTGCCACCCTCCCCCCCCACCTGCTGTAGTGTAGCCTCCAAGGTGCCACCCTCCCCCCAACTGCTGTAGTGTAGCCTCCAAGGTGCCACCCTCCCCCCAACTGCTGTAGTGTAGCCTCCAAGGTGCCACCCTCCCCCCAACTGCTGTAGTAAAGGCACCTGCCTCACCCTCATTACCTGTCGCTTGCTCTTGGCTAAATTTAAACGTTTTTTTCTTTCTTTTCTCTCTCTCTCTCTCTCTCTCTCTCTCTCTCTCTCTCTCTCTCTCTCTCTCCTCTCTCCTCTCCTCTCTCTCTCTCTCTCTCTCTCTCTCTCCTCTCTCTCTCTCTCTCTCTCTCTCTCTCTCTCCCTCTCTCTCTCAACTGTCAATCAATCGACTATATCCCCTCCCCCCCCCCACACACACAGGAACAGCTCGTAACATCTGTCTAACTCTCAAGTACCTTTTTACTGCTAGGTAACAAGGGCATCAGGGTGAAAGAAACCCTACCCATTTGCTTCTGCCATCGTCGGGGATCGATCCCCAGTCCCTAGGATTACGATTCCCAAGTGCTGTCCAATCAGCCCCCCCCCCCTCCGTCATGTGTGTGTGTGTGTCTGTGTCTGTCAAGAAGACCTTAGTCTTCTTAGTAATAAGAAGTCTTTAGTAATAAAGTAATAATTAGTAATTTAATAATTAATTTAATAATTAATTTAATAATTTAGTAATAATCGTCCTTAGTAATAAGACTAGTCTCAGTCTCAGTCTCCTGATGGTAGAGTTACAACATACGAGTTAGATGGTGTTGAGATTGTGAAGTCAGATTGGGAACAGGATCTGGGAGTTACGATTAGTAAGAATTTAAAACCAAAAAATTCAATGCATCTAAATGTTCGTAATAAGGCAAATAGGACACTGGTATTTATTTATCGAAGCGTTAGTAATAAGGCTAGGAGCTGCCTCGTATGGGCCAATGGGTCTTCTGCAGTTACCTTCATTCTTATTGGGAGAAAGTGGGTGGGGAGATTGGGAGAGAGTAGGTGGGGAGATTGGGAGAGAGTGGGTGGGGAGAGTGGAGAGAGTAGGTGGGGAGATTGGGAGAGAGTAGCTAGGGAGATTGGGAGAGAGTAGGTGGGGAGATTGGGAGAGAGTAGGTGGGGAGATTGGGAGAGAGAAGGTGGGGATATTGGGAGAGAGAAGGTGGGGATATTGGAAGAGAGTAGGTGGTGAGATTGGGAGAGAGAAGGTGGGGAGAGTGGAGAGAGAGTGGGGAGTGGGGAATGATGAGAGTAACCTGGGTACAGCCGGGTACTTCTCCCTTTGCATAGGTGCTGATACAAGTGATACAACAGGCTGATACAAGTCTTCATACAGTAGCCACATCTAAATACAACAACAATATGCAACTCGGGGGTAAATACATACCAGTGTCTTTCAGGCTGGTTGAGTCCTCCCCAAGGGCGTGGGCGTGACCTTCAGAGCCACGCCCACACCTGACCTCTGACTGTGGCCGTAACTGGGTGTGGTCCGTCCCAACCGTCTCCGTCCCAACCTGGAGCAGGTTTGGAACGGAGAGACAGAGACGGAAAAAAAGAGACAGACAGACAAACACAGAGACTCAGACAGAAGATGAAATACTTCAAGAATCAAGGAGTGGGAAAGACGCAAGAGATCACACCAGACCTGTCCACTGAAGCTCACATCAAGAGGATATATCATCAGCGGCGTATGCAAGGTTGGCCAACATAAGAACTGCCTTTAGAAACTTGGGTAAGGAATCATTCAAAACCTCGTATATCACATATGTCAGACCAGTTCTGGAGTATGCAGCTTCAGCGTGGAGTCCATATGTAGTCAATCATACGACTAAATTGAAGTAGGTTCAAAGGCCAAATAAGTAGTTCAAAGTACCCAAATAAGCCACAGAGACAAAAGAAAAAACATTTTTCAGTGTCAGATTAGTTAACAGATGGAATGCATTAGGCAATGAAGAGGTGGTGGCTGACTCCATACATAGTTCCAAATGTAAATATGATAGAGCCCAGTAGGCTCAGGAATCTGTACACCAGTTGATTGACAGTTGAGAGGCGAAACCAAAGAGCCAAAGCTCAACCCCCCGCAAGCACAAATAGGTAAGTACACACACACACGCGCGCAAACAAACACACACATACTCACGTACTAATACAACTAACATAATAGTATCCCATTGGTGTGTGGGTGGTCCGGCCGTGGAAGGAGCCCAGCGGTGTGTAATATTCACAAAATATAATTATTACCTGTTCGTTTAAAGGACCGGGACGTGAGGAAGCCTTCCAAGACGTGGGAGGAGCGTCTGTTTTGTGCTACTTCCGGCAAAGTATGCTTAGTGAAAACCAAATCCTGTTAATTTTCCCAAGTTCATGTTCATATTTTCCAACTTTTCATGTTCACAACATGAAAAGTTGAAAAAAATTGTGAAACATATATTTCTAAAATATTTTGGCAGGCGTCAGTTGTGTATGTGAACCGTGGCACGCTGCTGCTCCTTCTGAAATTTTGGCAAGCTCGACCAGCCTATGTCAGTCTCGTACCCCAGACCATTCCCCTTGCAAAATTGGGTGAGACTAGCCCCAAACATCTGACCTCCATCTCTGGACAGACAGAGAAACCTTCTTATCGATATAGATAGATCGGTGTATTGTATTCAGTTCAGTCTATTGTATTTGGATAGACCTGCACGGAGTATTATGGATTATGGGCTGTCTGTTGTATGAGGCTTTATGTATTGATGTATTGTATCAGAAGGAAGTTTTTATCGGGCTAGAATGTTGCAGCAGGCCAGAATGTTGCCTCATATCGGCCTGTTGCATCAGGACTGCCGATTCCATAAGACCCTGATGTTTGTTGCATCAGGGTTCTTTGTTGATGTATGTTTGTTGCATCAAGGGGGTTAAATGCATTATGAGCTCCCCCCCATGCGCTACAACGTTGCAGAAGTACCGGAGTTGTTTGTTGCTCCTGGTGTGGGGGAGTTGCAAGGCCGAGGGTTGGGGGCACGCTTCTTGCATCGTGGTCTCAAGTGCTGCTCTTCCAGAGATTAGCAGGTTTGGCATTGTTTTGTTTCTGTATCTCACCATACCACTCATGCCCCCACCATACCACTCATGCCCCACCATACCACTCATGCCTCACCATACCACTCATGCCCCCACCATACCACTCATGCCCCACCATACCACTCATGCCTCACCATACCACTCATGCCTCACCATACCACTCATGCCCCCACCATACCACTCATGCCTCACCATATCACTCATGCCCCACCATACCACTCATGCCCCCACCATACCACTCATGCCCCACCATACCACTCATGCCCCCACCATACCACTCATGCCTCACCATACCACTCATGCCCCCACCATACCACTCATGCCCCACCACACCACTCATGCCCCACCATACCACTCATGCCCCACCATACCACTCATGCCCCCACCATACCACTCATGCCCCCACCATACCACTCATGCCTCACCATATCACTCATGCCCCCACCATACCACTCATGCCTCACCATATCACTCATGCCCCCACCATACCACTCATGCCCCACCATACCACTCATGCCCCCACCATACCACTCATGCCTCACCATATCACTCATGCCCCACCATACCACTCATGCCCCCACCATACCACTCATGCCCCCACCATACCACTCATGCCCCAACCATACCACTCATGCCCCACCATACGACTCATGCCCCCACCATACCACTCATGCCTCACCATATCACTCATGCCCCCACCATACCACTCATGCCCCCACCATACCACTCATGCCCCCACCATACCACTCATGCCCCCACCATACCACTCATGCCCCAACCATACCACTCATGCCCCCACCATACCACTCATGCCCCACCATACCACTCATGCCCCCACCATACCACTCATGCCCCACCATACCACTCATGCCCCAACCATACCACTCATGCCCCACCATACCACTCATGCCCCAACCATACCTCTCATCCCCCCGCCATACCACTCATGCCCCATCGTATCCCTCCACGCATGATAATGTCCAGGTAACGAGACTGATAGAATGATTCAGTATCATCCCTCTCCCCCCCATCTCTAAACCTGCATAACATCTCTTCCCAATTAACCCATATCTCCTCTTATTTACCCTCTCACATCCTTCTCCCTCTCACCCTACCCCTCCTTTCTCCTTTCTCTCCCTGCATCTCGTCTCTCCCTCCATGCTTCTATTCTTTCTTATTTGCATCTATCTCCTTCTCTAGTGTATTCTGCCTCCCTTCTCTATCTCTCAGCCTCTCATCTTCCCATTTCTTTCTCTCCTATCCCTCTCCCCCTTCTCCATCTCCATTTATACCCCCCCCTTCTTCCTCTACCCCCTCCCCTTCTACTCCTACCTGTTCCATAAACAACGTAACCCACTAATTAGCGTTGATGATTAAGGTACAAGGTATATCACAGGAATTAATTAGTGTTTCACCGTAGCTGCTTATTTCCCATCAATTTAGGTCCTGCAGCGCCTGTGTCTCCTGTTATTATGTCATCTTTATCACATATCCTTCGTCGTCTTTTTATTCGCTATTAATACGTTTTCCTGTTATTGTGTCTTGCTTAGCCCGTGTTTGTCTGTCTCTCGGTTTAACGCGGGAGACAGAATGTCACTGTGGTCCGTTGGGCAGGAAGGCAGGCAGGCAGGCAGGCAGGCAGGCAGGCTGGCAGGCAGGCAGGCAGGTAGGCAGGCAAGGCAGGCAGGCAGGCAGGCAGGCAGGCAGGCAGGCAGGCAGGCAGGCAGGCAGGCAGGCAGGCAGGCAGGCAGGTAGGCAGGCAGGCCGGCAGGCAGGCAGGCAGGTAGGCAGGCAGGCAGGCAGGCAGGCAGGCAGGCAGGCAGGCAGGCAGGCAGGCAGGCAGGCAGGCAGATAGGCAGGCAGGCAGGCAGGCAGGCAGGCAGGCAGGTAGGCAGGCAAGGCAGGCATGCAGGCAGGCAGGCAGGCAGGCAGGCAGGCAGGCAGGTAGATAGGCAGGCAGGCAGACAAGCAGGTAAGGCAGGTAGGCAGGCAGGCAGGCAGGCAGATAGGCAGACAGATAGGCAGGCAGGCAGACAGATAGGCAGGCAGATAGGCAGGCAGGCAGGCAGGCAGACAGGCAGGCAGGCAGGCATGCAGGCAGACAAGCAGGCAGCAAAGCAGCCACCCGACCAGTACTCGTGTCTAACGTTCTGTGCCTCTCAGACGCAATTACCCACCGAGTTCTCGTAATTACTCTGTTGTTCTTCACGGATGTTTTGCGATAGATAGTTCTCGGCGGCGCACTCCGGTAGTCACTCACACATGCTAGTGCTGCACTCGGCTTCAACGTGGCTCACTCTCTTACCACAGCATATTCACTCATACCTCAGATACCTGCACTCAACCGGCACCCTCCCTCCCTCCCTCCCTCCCTCTGTTTTCCTTCATCAGTGAGCCCCTCCACCCGGCCGGCGGGGCCCTCCACCCGGCCGGAGGTGCCCTCCACCCGGCCGGAGGTGCCCTCCACCCGCCGGAGGTGCCCTCCACCCGGCTGGCGGGCCACTCCACCCGGCCCGAGGTGCCCTCCACCCGGCCGGCGGAGCCCTCTACCCGGCCGGCGGGGCCCTCCACCCGGCCGGCGGGGCCCTCCACCCGGCCGGCGGGCCCCTCCACCCGGCCGGCGGGGCCCTCCACCCAGCCGGCGGGGCCCTCCACCCGGCCGGCGGGGCCCTCCACCCGGCCGGCGGGGCCCTCCACCCGGCCGGAGGTGCCCTCCACCCGGCCGGAGGTGCCCTCCACCCGGCCGGAGGTGCCCTCCACCCGGCCGGAGGTGCCCTCCACCCGGCCGGAGGTGCCCTCCACCCGGCCGGAGGTGCCCTCCACCCGGCCGGCGGGGCCTTCCACCCGGCCGGAGGTGCCCTCCACCCGGCCGGCGGGGCCTTCCACCCGGCCGGAGGTGCCCTCCACCTGGCCGGAGGTGCCCTCCACCCGGCCCGAGGTGCCCTCCACCCGGCCGGCGGAGCCCTCTACCCGGCCGGCGGAGCCCTCTACCCGGCCGGCGGGGCCCTCCACCCGGCCGGCGGGGCCCTCCAGTGGACAATTAAGAAACCAGTGTAAAATGAGCGGTGTTTTCTCACCTACACGTCAAGATCTTGTGAAAATACCGTCATGTTTTCTTTGACGCTGTGAGTAGGGAAGACGGGGAGGAGGGAGGAAGAGGAGGACGAGGAGGAAGATCAGGAGGAGGGGACAAAGGGTGCAGAGAGGAAATGACAAAAGGGAGGAGCACCGGGTAGCGATTGGGAGGCGAGGGTGAGGGAAAAGGTGAGGATTGGAAGATGAGGAGAGGGAGAAAGAAGAAGGAGAGTGAGGAAGATGAGGACAAAGAGAAGGAGTGGGTGAAACGAATATAGAGGTGAAGATAACAAAGAAACAACAGACTTTAAGGGGGGTAAAAAAGCTGATGGAGCTTGAAACTAGGTTACATTTATTGAAGGAGAAGAAGACGTAGGAAGGAGACGAAGGAGGGAGAGGTGAGAGACGCGGGAGTAAAGGAGGACATAATGGAGAGCGGTGAGGGGGAGAAGGATGGCTTGGTCTCGCCTTGTGTGTTGGTGCAGTGGTATTGTATCCTCTTGTTTACACCGGCACCGCCTCCCCCCCCCCACCCCCCCCTCCTCAGCGGTGTGTACTTACCTAGTTGTACTTACCTAGCTGTACTTGCGGGGGGTTGAGCTTTGGCTCTTTGGTCCCGCCTCTTAACCGTCAATCAACAGGTGTTCAGATTCCTAAGCCTACTGGGCTCTTTCATATCTATATTTGAAACTGTGTATGGAGTCAGCCTCCACCACATCACTGCCTAATGCATTCCATCAGTTAACTACTCTGACACTGAAAAAGTTCTTTCTAACGTCCCTGTGACTCATGTGGGTACTCAGGCTCAACCTGCCCCCACCCCTTGATCGTGTATCACCCATGCTAAATAGTTTATCTTTATCTACCCTATCAATTCCTGAGAATTTTGTAGGTAGTGATCATGTCTCCCCTAACTCTTATGTCTTTCAATGTCGTGAGGTTTAGTTCTAGTAACCATTCCTCGTAGCTCATATCTCTCAGCTCGGGGACTAGCCTTGTGGCATACCTTTTCTAATTTCGTTTTGTGTTTGACTAGATGTGGACCTACGCTGAAGCTGCAATCTCTTATATTGGTCTGACATATGTGCTGTACAAGGTTATATGTGTGTACTCACCCTTTGTGTGTACTTACCTATTTGAGCCTACAGGATCCAGCATTATCTCCTAGATCTCAAGTTTTAGTCGGCGGTTGTCTAATACAATGACTCCTATGGCCTATTTCCCTATCAGATCTACTTTTACAATTATGAATGAATCTACAACCTGCTCATTTTGTCAATTCCCCTTTTCCCCTCTATTCTTACCTGTTGTTGTTGTTGTTTTAGATTTAGCTACTCGGAACGAAATGCCCATGTATCACGGGCTATGGTGAGCCCGTAATTCTTACCTATAAGTTCTTGCCTATGAGTGACTGTTGGGAAGTGAGGTGTAGCTCTTATTTGCCCCGCCTCCCAGCCCTGTTGTACCTGATGCATTATTTGTTTATTTGTTTATTTGTGTATTTGTATTGTTTATTTGTAATCAATTGATTTATTTTTTCATACAAGAGTTCTTATATACATTCCTGTACAGCCACTAGCACGCATAGCGTTTCGGGCAAGTCCTTAATCCTAATTTTTCACACATACCTCGAGGAAGCAGCCCGTTGCAGCTGTCTAACTCCCAGGTACCTATTTACTGCTAGGTGAACAGGGCCATCAGGGTGAAAGGAAACTCTGCCCATTTGCTTGCGCCTCCTTCGGGGATCGAACCCGAACCCTTAGGACTACAAACCCCAAACGCTGTCCACTCAGCCGTCAGGTCCCCAAATTTATAATTAAGTTATAATTTAAAGGTATAATGTTAGAATTTAGGCCCCAAAGTTATAATTTAACTATTCTGATGTACGATTTTTTTTCCGATTCTGGAGTTGTGAGGAGAGGTGGCTTCTACGACTTCTTCTCTCTGTATGTTGTCTTATGCAATGAATCCCGACCTATTTTTCTGAATCATATCTATGTCTATAAAAGAGTTTGCCTGTTTGTGTCTATCTGTCTGTCTGTCTGTCTGTCTGTCTGTCTGTCTGTCTGTCTGTCTGTCTGTCTGTCTGTCTGTCTGTCTGTCTGTCCTTCGAGGCCAGATGCCTCATCCAACTTTCTCAAGATGCATCGTGGGGTTTATGGGAGTGTCACAGTCGGGGTCCGCCCGAGTGCCACAGTAAGAAATATCGACATCAATAGAAATCC